TTATCACAAAATGTGGATGATGAAGATTTAGAACAGGGTGAATTTAACGACATCTATGAGGAGTACGATCAATACATTAAGACAGCAAGCAAATTTGGTCGAATAATGGATACATTCAATTTCAAAATGGGTCAATTTTCACCAAATGAACTCATTTATCGATTTAAGTCGATTTTCAAATCACAGAAAAACTCTTTCAAAATCAAAATTTCACTTGGAGCTATCCTCTTTAACAAAACCACAGAGGAGTATGCCTTTTACAAAAGCTCTCAAAATAACCAGCTGCTTCTTGATCAACCAGTCCTAATAAGAAATTCCAGTGACAAGGTTAGCTTCATTCGGAAATTGGAAAGTTTGGACCTGATTGCAGCGATATCCAGACCCAACAGTCAATGGACCATTGCTAAAGTCACAAACGCTACATTTTTCGTCTACAAGCTCACAGGAACTCCTATTGGGTCATCAGTTGAACTTCCAGCACATCTTGCCAACAACAAAGGTTTGATAAGTTTAACCAAAAGGAAAGGAAAGGCCTACAACGACAAATTGTGTTTCTTTCGAAGTCTTAGTCTTCACATGGGGCTGCCCCTTGATGGACTGGAAGGGAAATTAAAAGAGCTGAAAAACTTGTTTTGTGAAAAAGCGTCTATTAAGGAGTTTGAAGGTGTCACCTTGGATCAACTAGAGGAGATATCGCGCATCTTCGAAGTTGCAATAAACGTTTATGAACAGGATGAAGAGAGGAACACTGATTTGATATTTAGAACCATCACGGAGTCTGACAACCCTCTGAATCTTAACCTGTACGGCGAGCACTTTTCTTTTATCAAGAACTTAGCCATTTACTCTCAGTCATATAGGTGTGCAAAGTGTGATAAGATATGGTCGAGCTCGAACCACTTCCATAGACATGTTCGGAATTGTGAAGCAGGTGTTAAACATAAATACGGAACCGGTACATTTAACCTCCGACCCACTGTTTTTGAGGCTCTTGAGGAGGAGGGGGTGTTCGTGCCACTTGAACTTCGGCCTTTTCCATTCATGGCCACTTATGATATTGAATGTATGTTGAAGAAGGAAGTAGATATCAACGACACAGCTAAAATAAACTATACGTCTAAACATGAGCTTGCGTCTGTTTCGGTCTGTAGTAATGTACCTGGATTTACCTCTCCGAAGTGTTTCATCTTGCCTTGTGAGGGAGGTCAAAATCAGCTTGTGAAGAAGTTTGTTGATTACCTCATGAACATCAGTGAAACTTCATCTGCAATTCTACGTGAAAGATACTCGAAGTATCTAGATCAGATTAACTCAGAGAGAACACTTCAAAGATTTGAAGAGCATATTACCCAGTTGCCCGTGCTATCGTTTAATGGTGCCAGTTATGATTTGAGAATTTTAAAAGAGTTTCTTATCCCTGTTATCATTGATCTAGACTCGCTTAAGTTTGTCATAAAGAAAAGTACAAGTTACATGGCAATAGTGACTGAAGAGCTGTGTTTTCTTGACGTAATGTATTACATCGCACCTTCGTTTAACTATTCTCAGTTCCTTCACGCCTACGGTGCTAACGCTCAAAAGGGTTTCTTTCCATATGATTGGTTCAATGACTTGAAGAAGCTTGAGTCAGATCGCTTCCCATCTTACCAGGACTTTTACTCTTCACTAAAAGGATCCAACACACTTCAACCCACTGCGACGGAAATTTTGGGTGCAGATGAAGTTAACCTTATAGGAAGAAAACCGTCGAAAGGTACTCCACTTACATCCGACGAAATGTTCCAAATATCTCAGCTGAGATATGAGACAGTAAGCAACATGTTCTACGAAAACAAATGGACTATGAAGGATTATATAATCCATTATAACAATGCAGATGTCAAACCATTTTTAAGTGCCCTAAAAAATATGTCTAAGTACTACATCGACCGAGGTGTTGACGCTTTCAAAGACGGATTTTCAGGTAACTAATAAAATCAAAAGATAGGTATTTAAACTGTAAAAATAAGTACTGTAAATTATAAAAATTATGAATTGATAACATCATATTATAACGACGCGGTGAAGTTCTTGGAGCAAATTATGAATTGAATTATTTTACTGTTGCGAAGGTAAAATACACTTTTTTATAATGTTTTCGGTTTCAGTTCCTGGAATTGCAGAGAGGCTTGCGTTTAAAACTTTGAAACCTGATGAAAATTTTCTCCTATTCAATAAAAGAAACGCAGATCTGGTAGAACTTTTCAGAGGAAATAATGTTGGTGGCCCTGCCATCATTTTCGATAGATATCAGGAAGCAGGTGAGCGAAAATAATAATGATAACGTTTTGACATACGGAAGTAATTTGAATGATACTAAAATTGATAACTTGATCTAGAAATTTTTAACTAATGATATATATTCTTGAACAGGTGTCACAAATATCAGACATAACGACGAAGGAAAGCAGTGTAAGAGAATTTTGGGTTATGATGCAAACGCGCTGTATCTCTGTAAGTGAACTAACATTTTTATTTTATTTGTTTAATGTTTTCTTACAGATAATAGGGTTGAGTCAAATTTTCTAAGTTTATATTGAACGGAAAAGCTATTATTTACGTGCAATGAAAATTATTAGGGTGTATGCAGCAACAAATGCCTTGTGGTATGTTTCTTCGAAGAAAACGGGAGGATCTATTCGAGAAGAAATATCCCAAACCTCATTCTGCTGTGTGTAGTGAATGGATGGGTTATCTTGAAACAACACGAGGGATTGATATACAACATGCACGCAATGGGACTGAATTTAGAGTAGGGAGCAGAAAAATACCGGTGGATGGTTATTGCAGGTTTTATTTTATATGATTTACTTTGATTCTTTCATTTCGATACCTAACTTGGCTAATCGTTGTCATTTATAAATTATTCCTCACGTATTTCTTTAAATTTTTTTTTCTTTTCAGAGAATCAAAGACTGTATTTCAATTCCACGGATGCTTCTTCCATGGATGTCTTTCCTGTTTTACGTCTCCACAACACAACCGTGATGAATCTCGTAACGGTTGGAGATCCTTTGACGATCGCTATAAGGCCACTGGAGAGGTATCTGACTACATTACTGATGAGGGGTATCGATTAGAGGTGATTTGGGAGTGTGAATGGAAAGATCTGAAGAAAACTGTCGACTTCAAAAACAAATACTTGTATCCGGGAGAGTCGAATGTTTACATGAGAGAGCCCCAGATACTAGCTATGGTGATGGACGGCAGCATGTTTGGTGTAGTTGAAGTGGATATTGAGGTTCCGGAAGAATTGAAAGATCATTTCACTGAGATGACACCAATCTTCAAAAACACAACTATATCCTTATCAGACATTGGAGTTTACATGACGGATCATTTGGCTAAATCCAAACAGAATTTCCGAGATCGGAGATGTTTAATTGGATCTATGTTTGGAACCAAAATTCTCTTGATAACTCCACTCCTGATTTGGTATGTAAAGCATGGACTCAAAGTGACGAAGATATACCAGGTCATCCAATTCGATCCAAAGGAGTGCTTCAAACGATTCGGAGATGAAGTGTCTGACGACCGAAGAGCTGGTGAGTGTAATTACTTAGTATTTAATAAAGTATTTTTATGCTACATCATGCTAGTGTTAATAATATTTACAAACTTTATAATGAACGTTGTTTCCAGATTGAATTATTTAACTTCTTGAGTACTTTGTTTAAATAAGACAATTCAGGTGACGCTGACATCAGTAAAAAAATCATTGGTGATACATCAAAGCTTATAGGTTTGAATACCACCTTTTATTTAAACATTTTTTTGGGTGAATTTTAGCAAATAAATAGAAAAAAAAATAAATCCGTGACAACTATCCTACCACTTTCGTAGGTAACAGTGTGTATGGACATTCGATCATGGACAAATCGAAGCACACTGCGGTCAAGTTTTGTGGAATCGAGAAAGCGTCAAAAGTAGTCCATATTAATCTGAATAATAATCCTAACTCGAATTATATTGTAAATGGAGTAGAACTAGAAGTATCTGCACAGGAAAAAGATTTGGGGGTTATTACCCATAGCTCCTTGCTTTGGAATGAACAGATAAAAGCATGTATTTCTAAAGCAAATCGTATGATCTGCTGGATTGTAAGGAACTTAGTTATTAGAGAAAAGGTTGTAATGATAGCTATTTATAAAGCTTTGATAAGACCTCATCTTGAGTATTGTGTCCAATTGTGGAATCCAGTTGCGGCTCATGGAAGTTGGGGGACTGTTTTGGAGCTGGAGAGCGTCCAGAGGCGGTTTACCCGTCTTATTGATGAGGTGGGTACTCTTCCATACAGCTGCAGACTGGATATCCTCAATTTGACAAATTGAGGATATCCATTTGTCAAATTGCTTTTAAAGTAACTAGTGGTTTGACTGAATATGGATCGGGTTTGTTCAGAATGAGCAGATCTGGTCTTAATCTAGTTTCAACCAATAGGTGTAATAAGAGTGTAACTAAAGTTAAGAATCTCCAGTCCTCTTTTCTTCCGGAGCGAGTCATTCCTTACTGGAACAAACTCCCTTCAGATGTCAAGAACTGCTCGACAGTTTTAAGCTTTAAAGTTAGATTGGAAGGATTTAAGAAAGAAATGATTTCTAAAAACAGTGTAAATGATTTTTATTTTTGGAATGTTTCGAATGAAGTTTTAGGGAAAATTGAAGGACCCAGTTATTTAAGCAATAAGGAGACACATAATGAATATCTTTGGTTTCATCCTTTTGTGGCAAAGAAGCGTTTCATAAATCTTTATTCCACTGGGAAGTATTAATGAATTATTTATAGATAATGTATTAGATTTTATTAATTAATAAAATTGAATTTGATAAATTATTAATGTTGATGGAAAAATATATTTATTTAAATTATTTTTTTATTTAGTGCAATGATATTTTGTAGACACTTGTGATGATGTTATGTCATAATCTTTACTTACTTACTTACTTACTTTATCAACGATCCCTTCTTCAGCTCATTTGAGGAGTGTGGTGAAGAAACGTTCGAGGTATAATTTATTCGACGCCTATTTAAAATAGTAAGAAATTAATGTATTGATTTTATATCAGATATTTAAGATATAAAAGTGTTATCTTTAAAAGTTTGAAACACGTAATATCTAATTATACCAGATAACACTGAAAAAGAAGTCTATCAAACACGACCTACCGATCCAGTTAGGCTTCTTTGTATACCAGTATGCTAAGATGCGAATGCTTAGCTTTTACTACGATGTTGTCGATCGATTCGTTGACAGACGAGACTACTGTGTTTTAGAGATGGATACAGGTTTTAATTTTAACAAACATAGCCTGACTCATTGTGAGATAATTGAATCTAAAATAGGTCTAATACATCTACACAGGATATCAAAATACCAAATCTCAAACTATAATCCTCAGACAGTTTGTATCTTGCTGTCAGTGGAATGGATTTAGACAGTGTCGTAAAGCCTGAAATGACACAAGAATGGGAGGAAGCTAAAAAGGAGTGGTTTCCACGGATTGACAGCAAATCCAATGCGGCATACGATCTAAGGACCCCAGGTAACAGAGTAACACAATTATTAAAAGTAATACTTATATTACTCAAGGACGTGGACAGTTATTGTATTAATAAGGGACGTCGTCTTCAGTTTGTTGCACCGAATTCTAATTCAGGATTGTTCAAGATGGAATGGGAAGGTGACGGGTTTGTCGGCTTGGCTGCCAAAACTTATTACTGCTTCCATAACAACTCTCCCGACAAGGATAAACATAGTGCAAAGGGTATCAACAGAAATTTTCGCCTGAGCAAAGAAGATTATTTGAAGGTTCTCAACAAAGACCCGAAACAAGAATTACAAGTAAACAAGGGTTTCATTGTCAAAGGACAAAGCATGTACACATACGAACTCACCAAAAAGGGCCTTGATCATTTATATGTCAAGAGGAAGGTTTTAGATAACGGTATTAGCACGACTTATTTAGATATTTAAGGTGATGTGTGATCGTCGACTAATTGAGATGAAAATTTACCATGGTTTTATTTTTATTTTATTTTTTTCTGTTTCGGATATAAATATTTTTCATAATACATAGCTTGTTTCATTTTGTATGTTAAAATGATTAATACCGTCGTCATTAATAATAATACCCGTCACTAATAATAATAATAATACCCTTCATTAATAATAATTTTGTATGTTAAAATGATTAATACCGTCGTCATTAATAATAATACCCGGCACTAATAATAATAATAATACCTGTCATTAATAATAATACCCGTCACTAATAAAAATACCCCTCATTGATAATAATAATAATACCTGTCATTAATAATAATACCCGTCACTTATAACAATACCCGTCATTAATAATAATAATAATACCCGTCATTAATAATAATACCCGTCATTAATAATAATACCCGTCATTAATAATAATAATACCCATCATTAATAATAATAATACCCGTCATTAATAATAATACCCGTCATTAATAATAATACCCGTCATTAATAATAATAATACCCATCATTAATAATAATAATACCCGTCATTAATAATAATACCCGTCATTAATGATAATAATACCCGTCATTAATAATAATACCCGTCATTAATAATAATACCCGCCATTAATAATAATACCCGTCATTAATAATAATACCCGTCATTAATAATAATACCCGTCATTAATAATAATACCCGTCATTGATAATAATACCCGTCATTAATAATAATAATATCCGTCATTAATAATAATACCCGTCATTAATAATAATAATACCCGTCATTAATAATACCCGTCATTAATAATAATAATACCCGTCATTAATAATAATACCCGTCATTAATAATAATAATACCCGTCATTAATAATAATATCCGTCATTATTAATAATACCCGTCATTATTAACAATACCCGTCATTAATAATAATACCCGTCATTAATAATAATAATACCCGTCATTAATAATAATACCCGTCATTAATAATAATAATAACCGTCATTAATAATAATAATACCCGTCATTAATAATAATAATACCTGTCATTAATAATAATACCCGTCATTAATAATAATACCCGTCATTAATAACAATACCTGTCATTATTAACAATACCCGACACTAAACCCGTCATTATTAATAATGCCCGTCATTATTAACAATACCCGTCATTAATACCCGTCATTATTGATAATACAACTTTCATTGTCGTTTGTATTATAATAACGATGCGACTAATTCTTTCAATTAATGTCACTCTCATCTGAGAGGTATATAAGGGCCTTTTGACAGCTGATATGAATTCAATAGTTCTTCATCTAGCTTGAAAATGAGTAGTAAATCATACTCGTGTGATAGTTGTGGAAGGCAGTACAAAAATTCTAAAAGTCTTCGTACCCACCGCTACTCGTATCACAGGACACAGAAAGATAGCAGAAATATAGATAAGGTCTACAGTTTACCCAATGATTCCGTGAGTCTCGACTACGAGTATGGTACTGATTACGCTACTAAGAATAAGCTTCCAGCAGCCAACGAATTCACAACAGATGGTCTTGGATACGATTATTTACAGGATAAAGTTACGGACATTGTACTAATGAAAGCAGACCTAAATATTCTGCAATCGACTGTCGATGAATTAGACAGACTTGTCAGGAACTTGAGTGAGGAGATGAAAAGTAATGACAGTGTGAGTAATAAAACTCACTTTGTTAGATATGAGGACAGCATTCTTCCATCAAATGAACTCAGAATACTCAAACTTACGGTAGAATCAAACAAAAATGATATAAGAGATATTCAAGATACTATGGATAATACTGTCGATCAAAACGTTGGTCAAGAGGTTGATGTTGATTTGAACGAACTGGCAGCCGAAGATCTTATCGATGGTATGATTGAAATAAGGAACTCGTTTGTTGAAAATGACATAGACGAAGTGACTGCAGATATTCCTAAACTCCGTAATGTCCTCAAGTTAATACTGAAAACGGTAGATCTAAGTAAACTGAGTGAGGAGGAATTCCAGCTGCTAAATGAAATATCTAATGCTTCGAAGTTAACGGCAAAAGCAATGATACACGAAAATTTTAATCATCTCGTGAACATGTTTGACCGGATGAAAACTGATCTTGATGAATTATTTGAGCCATCTGATTCTGAGAAACAGGAAATAAAGTCTGTAAATGAAGAAGAGAAATCGGATACTGATGACAATAACTCTATGACTGATCAGTCAGAATCTGAAACGGCATCAGACAAGGAAGAAGAACAGTACTCATCGGATTCTAATATTAGTGAAATTGATCCGTCAGAATTAGAAAGCACGCTAGATACTCATTCCATTTCACAATGTGAGGATCAAAGTGACTGAAATTAATGAATAAAATTGACCTCCGGAACAAAGACTATAAAAGCATCTGGGAGAACTGCTTTTCAAAATTAATCTTCTGCTGTCAATATTATTAGTTATGGACCGTTCCACACTTGCACAAATTCCTAGAAAATATCAGGATATTTACAAAAGGAGTTGGAACACAATTAAAACGAATGTGAGACAGGGTCGATTGAAAGATGTTTACCATTTCCCTATACTCACCATGGATAATAGTGCGATCTTAAGAAAAGCTGAAGAAGTTGTTGCAAAATACAACGAGAAGTTCAAAGTTAATGTGGCGTTTGGATTTATTCTCAAGGACAGGACTACAGATGAACTAAAGTTCTTTCATCCGTCAAACAACACGATGCTGTTTACACTCCCTCGATTATTAGAAACTCCGTCTGATTATAAACAATTTGTTGAGGATATTGAGCAACAAGACGCCTTTGACTATGCTCGACTACACAGACCATCAACAAAATGGACAGTGGAAAGAATTGTGTGCGTACGATTTGATATTTATAAATTTAAACTAAGACGTTAATTTAATTCTGTCAAAACTTATTTTTGGATGTGTATCGTGTAAATAATATTCAGCTAATGCTATTCGTAAAAACTTATTCATTTTCATTTATTTTTCTAACCAGTTACGAATCATTTGTTTTATTTTTTAACAACATCAGTCAGCTAGTTATATTGATAGATTGTGGAAATTAATCACTAGAAACGATTAAATGAGTCACTCAAGTGATCTATAGGATAAGGATAGCGTGCTGTAGGTGGCACATTATTACCTCACTTTGACCCACTCTAATCTGGTAAGATCGTTACACGATAAGATCACAAAAGTACCGCGAGCAATGAACATGACGTAATAATCAAGTTACATCCAATATAGTTTCCACATGGAACATGATATCACACTAATTACAAGGTCGCCGCCGGTAACATTACGTAATATGCTTACTCCAAGCACCTGTACACCACTTTTTCCCAAAATGGCTATTGAAAAGTCCCTGACATACTACTAATACCTGCAAGTTTTAGTCAAACACAGAGAGTCATTGTGCTTCCACCAAAAGTGTCCTTCAGCAAACGAGGAGAAGAAATACAAAGATTTCAGGTTGACTGTTGCTCCGTTGAAAGCTCTTATCTCATGTTCTGGTGTCAGCAACAAACCTGTTGGTGGATGCTATTACATATATTGAAACTCTTGAGATGTCTACACAATGTGCACTACCTAGTCGGGTTTAAAATGTACGGTCACAATAAAAAATAAACGCGCTCACGAACAAAGAGTGCATAAATTTGATCATGTAAATTCACAGCTCACAATTTAAACCGTTCATATAATTTTCAATAAAATATTCTTTATACTCTTACTTGTCAAATAAATCATTTTTGAAATCGATAGTGAATTCAACTGACTCATTTAAATCATTCTACGCCTCGACTGAGTAAAAGTCTAATAACAAAAAAAAGGATGCAAAGTCTCTCTGATTTTTAAGATTGTTTCGAAATTAGAATGAAATATTATAATCTGTTGATTTAGATTACCATCGGTTTCTATTTCAACTTCCGAGTAAAAGTTATACTCTTGACCATGGGCGAAGACTATGCAAGTGTAAGAAGCAACTTCGTTGGGAGGGTCTAATCGTAAAATTGTTGTTGTTGTACTATTTTGTAAGGTTTCTTTTCTTGTCTCTGCAAAAAAAAGTTAAAATGTTACATATGATATAATATTGATATCAATATTTATATAAGGCCAAGGGGGCACCAAGCTCAAAGTAGTGTTCCATAGAGTTACACAAAAACTTGGAATTTAACCTTCAAATATAGTATTTTGGTGTGACCAAGCAACTGTCAATGTGTCGGTAGGAAAGATCACAGTGCACTTCAATACTGCTGGGTCTCCTGTTCTAACATAATCATTGGTTGTACTGAAATAAGAAGTTGAATTCAATGGAAATTTAGGGAAATTGGAGTAGGTCAAAATTTAATACAACAATATGATATTGATTATGATTGGTCAAATGGAGATTTCAGTTTAAGAACGTATTATTTAATTCTACGCATTCTTTCATTTGCGCAATATTAAATAAGATTTTTGAACTACATTATTAAACGTACCGAACTGTGAAGGTTTTGAGAGCCACCAAGGTATCATCATATTGATCTTTTTCTCCTACTGAAATCCTACATGTGAATAGTTGATCGCCTAACAAAGTCACGTCAGCTAAAAGGATCATAGTAGACTCCTTCATCCCATCCATTAGTGCTCCATCGCTGATAAATTGAAAGAGTCGGTAATCCATGACAACATCTACATTTGCAACAAATTATAAAACAGCAATATATCATATATCTGTATTAGGATCTCAAATATTCTATCATTTCAGTAATCGGTATTCGGTATATTCCAGTAATATAAAAGATTGACATATATGGCGTGCAGCTCTATAAAGAAAAATATAAAATATTACCTGACAGTCAAGTCAGAAATGTCTGAATCATGAGAGAAAAGTGTTCCTTTGTTGTCCACCCACTGAATATGTATCAAATTGGCAGCTGATCCTTTTATTGAACAAGTCAACGTTGATGCACTACCTGCTCGCACGTCATAGCTTTTCACCATTATCTCTGA